TCCAGCTCTGCTAAGATCTCTTAATCTTTATATAGGGTGTTTCAGCAAATCGGTTACAAATTTTCAGGAGAGATATAGTAAATCTATACAATGGAAAAACACATAGCAATGCATGGTCGGAAACGCTTTCCTGGCGCGGTAGTGACGACACAAAACATAAAAACGGAAGGACTGGAAAATGGTAAGAATATGTTTTAGTTCAGCGAAAGTGCAATAAATAAAAAGAACAGACGATCATCATCAAAGAAGGTGTTCGAAATTAAGTTCGAAACTTATCATCAACATAGGATTGGCAACGGTAGTCCGGTGCATAGGCCAGCAAGATCACCAGATCTCTTTTGCATTGACTACTTCCTCTGGATATACATCAAGACATCTGGATATACGTCAAGACATGGTGTCCGAAATTCCCGTTAAAAGTGCCGAGGAACTTGTTGCACGCATCATGACAGCTGCTGGGGAAGTCTGAGACACGAACGGTAATTTCCAGAACATTTTCTTCGATGGGCCGGAGATGTAAGACCTGCAACAGAGTCCGGAGGCGTAATTTCGAACACCTACTTTGATGACAATCGTTGCCTATTTTTGTTTTTATTTCTTGATTTTTACCGTACTAAGCATAATAAACATGTTTCCTCACCCTCTTCATTTTTTCCTTTGTTGTGTTTAGTATTGTCACTAATGCGCTAGGAAAACCTTTTCGGTCATGCATTGCTGTGTAATTTTCCATCGTCTAGGTGTATTCTATCTCTCCTGAAAGTCTGTAACTGATTTCCGATGTCGAGAATATTTTATTTTTTCACTTTTCGGAAGATGAAAATCAGAACTCTTTCTAATCACAACTAAACCTGTTCTGATAATCAAAATTACGGTAAATTTACAGTGATAATTACACAAGCGTAAAACCATCTAAATCATTAACTATTATCACTAACTTAGTGCCTTATTTATTCTTAAACAGATAAAAATAATCCTTTACTTGACGAGATCATTACTCTCTCCAATGTCAGTAAAGCTTAATTTTAGTTACTAGCGAACAGATTATTTTTTATCCCATTACTTTTACCTTGCCCACATATTTTAGGAACAGTTTACGTTCAATCGATAGGACAAAAAATAATTGTTTTAGGTGGATTAATGTACTTTTTTATTGCTTTAAGAAACCCTAACTGCCTGGAAGGAAAGAGTAATATAGCTATATTTGCTTAAAAGATTCATTTAACTAAAACAATTTATTTCAGCTAACGAAACAAAACGAAAAAAGGCAAGCCCTATATGCATTTAATCTTGTATCCCCATTAAATTATTATAATTTTTATTTTTTCGCTTTGCAATTTAAATTGCTTCGCTCGATCTTTCTTTTGTTACTATTTTTATACTATTTTTAGTTTAGAATGCATTGTTTTAATTTATTACTCTTTTATGTTTATAAGAGGGATATATTATATCACAGCTTTATTTTATCTGTAAGTATATTTCATCTTACCATTTTTTCGGAGCCAAAAACTGCGTTGAAATGTTCTATTATCTCTGGTATGTTCTTAAGTAAGGTGTTATTTTATATTTTCTCAATTTTATGAAATGCCACAATATGTATTCAGAAAAATCTCACATTTTCGTTACAATAAAGAAGGCTTCAAGCTAGTAAAGAGCATGTAATGCAAGCTTAGAAAAGGAGAAATTTCGATACCCGTGGCTTTAAAAACTTGAACCTCGAAAATCATCTATCATCATACACAAGTCCTAACGTGCTGCAGAGTACGTTGAAATTTACAGTGAAGGCTTGATAACGTGTTTAACGATGCATCATACAGTTTCCTTGGGCGAGACAATAAATAGAAAATAATATGGAAACATTCCGCCTATGCCATGAGCAGGCTTCCATACGAAAACGGCTCTGTATCCCAACTTCTGACATTATGTATGTTTGACATACTCCTCTAATCTGGTTCCAAAAGAAATGGCAGCTAAAATACATGCTGATTTGTTCATAAAGCTAATGTTACAGCTACGTTTGAATGTTGCAGCCCCATCTTTCAACAGCATAATGTTTAAACATATATAATAAATGTTACTACGAACATCTTGAGTGAATCTGATGTGTTCTTAGGGGCAATTGTATCTTTATAATTGTCAATCGTAGAGTCCATCTAAGATTATCGGTTCATACCTGCAAAGGGCCTCAGCGATTAAGCTGTGAATGCTTAAATCCATGAAACGTGCTAGAATATTCAGCAGGTGATACTGATTACTTCGTTGGCGTACAGAGCATGTATTACTGCATAAGATGTGTATATTAATAAGTGAACAAATAATGGTAATCAAATTTTCTGTCCAGACAGTTTATCGTTTTCATAGGTTAAATAAACTATCTAGTTCTTAGTATGTAAAACCTTACGGTTCTTCTTTCGTAGTATTGTTGCATTCTACGGGTTCGTGGATTTGGAGTGATTGATGATAACAGTTGATGGAGAATCAAAACACAAGTTAATCTTCATTATTACGCAGGAGAGTTCCAAAGACACGTTTACAGACGTCAGAAAACTACGATAAACACGCTGAAACAATCCGCAACACAGCCTTCAGGCTATCAGTCTATAAAGGTGAAGACAGCTTCACGGCAAAGCACTAAAGTACAGTTTCTGACTCTGTCGATCGCTCTTGAGCTAATCTCTGAACTCAAGACACTACTACTGAATTCAACATACTACTGATACTTTCAGGATACTCTCTTACTTCGCGTACAAGGCAGGGTATATATAGATTTCAACCTGCATCCGAGAGCATTCTCGGGAAAATCGTTAAGAATTCATTCTAGAATGTTCTCGCTCCGTTTATGGTATATCACCAATTATATCACCAATTTTTGAACAAATATCGCCAAATGGGCGGTTTCGTGTAAAATCTGGTAAACCTGCCTTTCCTTGCCACTTTCTGGCAACCCTCCAGCTTTGTGGGGAAGCTATCTTACCGCACCTGGGCATTTTGTAACAGCATTGCTGATTTTCTGTTTAGGAATGCATATTGAGTTAAAATTAATTACAGTGAAACTTCCATTATTCGAAGAGTTTTGTCTTCTATGTAGGTAGGTGCTTTTCAGCATTAGCCATGAGAGATTTCACAGTATTACGATCGGGACTATTATTGTCATTATTATTAAATTTAAAACTGCTAAAAGTATAATGTCATATATATTCCACAGTATATATGAAATTAAAAAGTAGAATTTCTGCATTTGAATTCCTTTCGTCGAAATAGCTAGTAAAAAAAGCGCTAATAATTAAAATTATTTTCAGAAAAACAGTCTTAAAAATCTGTGGGGCTGGAAAACATTAAATAGAAAGTGAAAGGGGCTGCAAACAAAAGAGCAAGAGAAAATTTTATTAGTGTATAAAATTCGCAAATAAAAGGGGATTCTGCCAATACAATTATGACAAAATTCAAACATGCTTTGAAGAAAATCTAAATGACTTGATTTGAAGAAAATAAATGCATTTCAGGGTAGACTGACAAAGACTAATGCTATTTTAAGAAGCAAAAATAATTTGTGCTGCGGATTAAAAATATCATTTCAGTAGCTGAAAATATAGAGAGCTAACTATGAAAGAATATAAAGATCGTAGGGCAATTTATCCAATAAAATAGAAATTAATTTGTGATTACAATCTACCTATTCGTGCTTCATTCTGTAGCATATGTTAAGGTTTTTTTTCGAACCGGAAACATAAATATAGCTATACATAAATTATCTATACCCTCGCCGAGATCTGAAATCTGGATCTTCTGACTGCCAGCCGGATGTGGTACCAGTTACAACATGATAGCAAGCAGTGGAGGAGAAGAACATTCTTTCTATTCTTCCCCACTTAAAGAGCAACCGATGAGAGAAGAATGAGGGCTCAGTCGAACAAATTAGGCTGACGATCTTTTAATAGGCTGATGATCTTTTAATTCCACAATCTTTTAATAGGACGCTACGGTAGAGCTATTTAGAATTTTTGGAGCTAGAATCGTAAGAAAGCAGCTCATCGGGATTCAAATTCGGGATTTTCCAATTGTAAACCCGGTGTGATCAGTTACACTCCAAAACTACGCAGAGGGGAAGGCGAAAATTCCTTATAATTTCCTTTTCTTTCCGTCTCAAAAACTCCAGACACGCATGCTTCATAGAAATCCCCACCAAAAAAATTGTGTTACAGTTTAATTATCGAAGAGTCTTAGTTATTAATTATTGTTGTTGTTCCTTACACTCAGTTGTCTGACGTAGTCAGCCTAAGCCCACGAACTTCCTTGAGGCAAGGAGCGCTAGAATACGCCTGCCGATGGCAAAGCCTTGAGCACAATTCAGGTGACAGTGCGATTTCACTCACTTCCGTCCCTCCCCCTCCCAATTTTGATTGAGAAGCACACCGAGAGGACGGTCCGAGGATTTTCCTCCACTCTTCTCTTCCACCAAGCCACACGAGAGGACTTTCGGTTCGCCGCATATTTAGACTGCTGGCCTGCCGCACCGACTCTATACATTTTACAAACATCCATGCCTTCTACGGCATTCAAACCTCGGCCCTTCAGCACGGCAGTCAGAGGCGCTATCGAATACCGGTTGAGCGGTTTAATTATTAATAAATTAATATAACAGAACACAGAATTAATTACTTTTAGTTACTGATTAAATCGACTACGAATTAATTTTTACATTATTAGCTAATGTTATCACTAATTTAGGTCTCCGATAAATTTTAGATGTCTTAAAATGGTTTACAAGAATTATTAAATTGAGAAACTGTTAGAAAATTATTTAAAGATTCAAAGCCTTTTAACATTTATACAACGTATATTCAAAAAGAAAGATTCATGTTTAACCCTCTTACTTATTTTGTGCTTTAAAACGCCTAGGGTTATGAAACGAGTTTATTCAAGCAGTAACTTATAATCAGCTGTTACACATTTAAGAAAATTAGACAGCGTTCTAATTTATTTATTCTTTCTTTCTCTTTCAGAATGACTGCGCCTATTGCAATCCGAGAACGCTGTTAAGCACGGTGAGTAGGCAGTTAATTACATTTTTCATTGCGTAAATGACATTTTCTTTCAATTTTTCAAATTCAAGTACCTTTTTCTTTCTCTGCTTACGTTTTTAAAGCAAAATATTTTCGGTTTAGAATAAAATGAGAAGGCGGAGAAAATAATTGTTGACAGCAGGCGATGTAATTATAGTTATATAATAATGGAACAAGAAAGTTTCTAAATAATTGCCTGAAGATTGGAACCAGCTTCTCTAAATAATAATGGGAACTACCGAAAATGAAAAAATAAGTCAAAGATCTTCACTTAAATTCTGCTATTCACCGGGGGAACTGTGTAGTTTACAATATCTAGTTTTATAAATTTATTTGAATAAATATACCATTGATGTAAACACTACTAATATATTCAAGAACTATATTTATTATTAGCCCAAAAGCGCTATTTACCCACAATAATTTCTATTAATTTCGTTTTGGCACTTTGCTTGGGTTCACTTTAACTGTCGGTTCACTTTTCAAATTATTACCAAATATTAGATGCTTGCATTATTTTTAAAGAAATTAAATAAAGAAGAACCTTCATGAATGTATGTATGTTTTCGATTGTGAAAAAGCGGCACTAGGACCAAACCAATAAGTATATCCCAGGTATTTGGAAGCTCAAATTGATTTTATCTATTTCATTTTGAAACCTTAACAATTTTGATTATGTTAACATTTCAAATAGCATAGCAAATCTATGGAAAAAAAAAAAAAAAAAAAAAAAAAAAAAATCTGAAATGTTTCAGATTTTAAATTACGTCCAAAGGGGCGTTTTTTTAACATTTTGTGTGTTACCTTTCTTTATTAAATATCATGTTCCTCGCACTTAAACCATAAGATCCAGTGCAACAGCAATATCGCAAAATAGTTTTAAAACGAGCATATCTTTAGAATTTCCGATACAGAGACTCACGCGCTGGAGATAAAAATGTTTTTTTTCTGCACAACGTTGCCATTGCTCGCTTTGAAATCCTTGAGTTTGTTAATCAAAAATTCGTCAAAGTTTTAAAAAATAGGAAATCGATCATAAAACAAATTTCAAATTTCAAATTTGGTCTTCCACATGCTCATATTCGTTGGAGGATTACGTTATTCATTCAAAATTCGATGACTCTATGTACCGTTGTTTTTATGACAATACGAGAAATATACATACATTTACGCAGATTTTTCATTATTTAATTTCTTCAAATATAATGCAGGACTCTAACATTTTATGGCAACAGTTTTGAAAAGTGAACCGACATTTATGAGTCCGACGCAAAATGCCAAAACGAAACTAATAATCCTTCGGGATTCAAATCCCTTTGGACTAAAAAAAAAAAAAAAAAAAAAAAAAAATCTAGCCGAAAGGTATCAGAATTAAGGATATGCTTTTAGATGATATCATTTAATTTTAATTTATGAGTTTAATAAAAGAACACAAAACTTAAAAAACCCCTTAGTCCTAATAAGGTATTTTTCTTAATATTCTGATGGAACTAATTATGGTGATAAAAAATTTAATTCTATCTTAAAGTTACCCTGAATAGTTCAAAAGACACTGATATTGAGCACAGGACGTACGTCATCGATATTCAGACGGATAGGTTTCTTCCGGAAACGAGGCTAGACACTATCTTTGCTGTTTGCCTTCGTGGTGCATAAGGAAATCACATCCGGCTAGTAATCAGAAGGCCCTGAATTCACCTCCTGGCGAAGGTTTTCAAATAGAAACAACAGTTTTCAACTAGAAAACATCCACAGCCATTTATCGATCTTTTTGACGGGTTCTGGCTTTTGAGCGACCTTCTTCTAGACACACTTTTGATTTTTAATCCAGGTTTTCGAGAATTGTGTATCAAAAATAGAGATAACACGCTTACAAGCAGGAAACAATTTTGATGCTGGAGTTTGAGATTACCCTGTTTCCTATCTAACAGTTGAGCTTCATTTTAAAAGAAATGAGGTGGGAAAGTATTATTCCGCTGGTCGTCAAATGTACATTTAAATAACGAAATATTTAAGACACAATAACACGCCGAATAAATACTAATTCAGCAGTCAAACAACAAAAATCAGCGTTATATTTTAAAATTTTCACAGGACTAGTTTCGATGGTTTTACCGAACCGCTATCCTCAGCTGCAGAACTGCAAATGAACAAGATAGGAAATAATGATTAGATAAGATAAGAAAGCCTGGACAAGAATAAGCAAGTGGCGTCATCTGATGGTGAAACCAGAGCTAAAACATAATTTCTTTAAAGACCGAAGGCAAAGATGGATTGGAATTAGGATCGTTAACTAGAACAGAAAGATTTTTTTGAATGTGAAATGAATCTAGAAAATTCAGTTCTCCAATGGAAAAAAAAATTTCTGTTGTCATTCCCTTCTTTCCATCAATTAGCTATAAAGTTGCACATATTTTGCAGAAATTTAACTTTCGGGTTGTTTATTCTCCCTTCAATAAAATTCCGAATATCATAATCAAGACCCCATTCCGGATATGAATTCCTGGGGTATTTACAGGATTCCTTGCCAGTGTGGCTTAATTTACATTGACCAAACTAAGAGAGCCTTAAAATTTCGCGTTAAGGAACATGAGGCATATGTTAGAGAAACGAAACAGAAGTCTCTGTTACCCGACATTGTTGGTCCGAAAATCACACTTTCAATTTTTCTGCTGCCAAAATTATTCAAAAAACATCTTCCATTGGAGAACTGGATTTTCTAGAGGCATTTCACATTCAAAAAATATCTTTCTGTTCTAGTTAGCGATCCTAATTCCAATCCATCTTTGCCTTCGGACTTTAAAGAAATTATGTTTTAGTTCTGGTTTCACCAACAGATGGCGCCACTTGCTTATTCTTGTCCAGGCTTTCTTATCTTATCTAATCATTATTTCCTATCTTGTCCATTTGCGGTTGTGCAGCTGAGGATGGTGGTTCGGTAAAACCATCGAAACTAGTCCTGCGAAAATTTTGAAAATATAACGCTGATTTTTGTTGTTTGACTTCTGAAACGAAATATTTATTAGCAAATATTAATGTAGGTCACTTATCTTTCAAATGAGTGATATAATATTTTAATTTAAATACTTTGTTAAAATTTAGAAATTTAAGATTAGGCAAAACAGTACACAACATTTACGCCAAATGAAGTACCACGTCCTCCAAATTTTTATTTTACTTTTACGTTTTAGACGTCTAATTTGAAGTGTCGAATGCTTTAAACAGAAACTGTTCCCTATTCCTCCTGAAATATATATATATATATAAAGCTCGGCTTAGAATTTTTATATTATTTATGGAAATCTCTTTTGAAAAATTTTTCATTTTCCTAGTATCAAAAGTTTAAGGATTACAAAATCGGGGACCTCCCATTTTTAGGGAAATTTTGTTTTTTAGATATTAGTCATTAATCATAACATAAATTCTCAATACATCTGAGATTCGATCTTTCGGTTTTAAATTGAATTTAATGTTTTTATTGAAATTTAATTGAATCTTTTATCGGTTTTGGATCTCAAATGATTCAGAAGAACAAAACATGCATTTGAAACAGATTAATCGACTTTGAATCGATTATGAAACTTTGAATTATTATCACCTGATGAGTTCTGAATTAGGGTTTCAGACAAAGGAGATTATTTTTTATTTATGTTTCTATTACCAATTTGCGTTTTAAATTTTCGGGTTTATTCTACTGAAGAATTCTTATATTAATTTTAACTATGTTTAGCTACAATGTTAGACCTCTTATCCACTATTGCCATTAATAATATTATTAGGGAAGTGCCTTGTTTTAATTCCAATTTAATTTTAATTTTGAATTCTTTTGTACATAAAATATTTATTGCTTTTTACGGTATATTAAAAGAGGAATTATCGTCGAAGTATTTATAAGGAAAAATGTTTTAAAAACAGAAATAGCAACAATTTAAAAGGAAACCATTTATTTACATTTCTAGGAATCTAACATACGAGGGCTATCCAGAAAGTAGATTACGTTTTGGAATAAAAAAATAAACAAAGTATAGGAAACAAATTTTATTATATACAGATGAAAGCCACACTCAAATACTACTTTTCTACATAGTCACCATACAAATTAAGGCATTTATCGTAGCGATGTACGAGCTTGGAAATTCCTTCGTCGAAAAATTCGGCCGCCTGCGCCTTCAACCACTTCGTTACCTCTTCTTGCAGCTGTGCGTCGTCATCAAAACGCTGCATAGCCAGCCACTTCTTCATTGCTGGGAATAGGTGGAAGTCGCTCGGTGCCAGGTCGGGACTGTACGGCGGATGAGGAAACAACTCCCACTTAAAAGATTCAAGAACTTTACGAGTGACATTTGCCGTGTGGGGCCGGGCGTTGTCGTGAATCAACAAGATCTTAGAGCTCAACATTCCTCTGCGCTTGTTTTGAATTGCTCTTCTGAGTTTTTGGAGAGTTTGGCAATACCTTTGAGAGTTTATTGTAGTGCCTCTTTCCAGGAAGTCCACCAAAATTACACATTTCTGTCCCAAAAAACAGTCGCCATCATCTTCCTTGCCGACATTGTTTGCATGCATTTCTTGGGTTTTTTGGGGAGAAGTTGTGTGCCCCCACTGCATTGATTGCAATTTCGTTTCACAGTTCACATGTTTCACCCATGTTTCGTCACCAGTAACGATGCGATCGAGTAAAGAGTCACCATCCTTATGGTAAGCGTCCAAAAAGTTCAACGCTGCAGCCATTCGCTGATTTTTGTGGTCCTCTGTCAAGATTTTTGGAATCCATCTTGCACAAAAACTTGTGGTAACCAAGCTTTTCGCTGATGATTTCGTGCAACAAAACTTCGCGAAATTTGTGGAAACTCAAAGAAAGTTCCGTTATTGTGAAATTTCGATTTTCACGGACTTTAGCATCGACATTTTTCGAGAAGTTCGGCGGTCACTATGCTGGGTCTCCCACTTCGATCTTCGTCGTGAACATTGGTTCGGCCATTTTG